AACCCATACTTACACCCACATTCTCACACCCACAAACCCACACCCACCCACACCCACATTCTCACACCCACACCCGCACCCACAAACCCATACTTACACCCACACACCCACACCCACACCCACACTCGCATCCTCTTGATTGATTTATACCATTCTTTTCATATGCGACGACGAAAAAAGCGAGGTTTGTTGAAACAACTGATATCTACAAATAATAGTTCTCAACATGTAGGCAGGAGGCATATAAGTGACGCTCTTATGCTGTTTGTAACGAAAATGGCTCTTTTGTGGCAGATCTTGTCCATTTCCTCTGACTTTTTGTTTTTACAAAACTGATCATTTTTTGCAAACCTTACAGAAATATATATGATTAGCAGCACAATATCTGAAAAATGGGAAAGTTTGGTCTGCTCAATTTCTAGGTCTTGACGAGAACAGTCGAATCACTGATATCAGCAACATACATGAAGTCCTCTACTAAATAGGGTGATATTAAACTCATTTCTCCGGAGACACTGAAATATGTTTCCACGTCAGTATTGTATAATATGTCATGTTGATGTATTGGTGATTGCAGCAGAGAAATCGTTCCTTATCTTAGAAGTGAAGCATGTTCGGAACTTAAAGAGACGTTGTATTTGCATACATGAATAAGATTTATTTTATTGATAAATGTGTGTGTTGTTTTAAATTTCGGAGAAAGATCGAGATAACGTTTTGAAGAATTCTTCAGACTTACTTCAAAATATGCTATACTTCAGAGATAAAGGGATTTCTTCACAATTCTGTATGTTATATACTAATAGTCAGAACTGCTATTTCAGTATTCAAATAAATAAGCAAATAGTCTTCCTCCCCACCCAATTCCGCTGGTGATAAATATTTACATCATATAATGCTGCTTGTAATTCTTCACGAAAGAAAATTTCTTTTTCTTCCTTTGTAATCATCTCGTTTTATTATTTTGCTGACGTGGATCGGTTGATACGTCGGACAACATTCTGACACCAGTCATGATAATAAATATAAAGATAACGAGTGATGCTATAAATATATCCAAATACAGCGAACCGATTTTCATATTAAAAAGGTAGCCCAGCTCCGTTCTCGAGAATTCTTTATTCATATAGGAAAACACGCACAATCAACGTTAAATCTTCGACTTACAAAAAGCATGGACGGAAAAAATTCCAAAAAAAATGTTAGATCAGCTAAGAACGCTACTGTTCCAATGATAACAACATCGTCTGATGCCAACTATCCGAGACATCGCATCATTCAAAACTTTTTACTAATCTGGGTGGATGCTGATATTAATCAATCAAACACAGATTGTCAAAATACCTTGGCACAACTACAAAGTGTCGTCAACGACGTCTATATTTTTACCCAACTGGATGAATGTGTCGACTTTCTCACGGACGTTGGTGACATGAAGGCTTTCCTCATGGTAGGACGTACTCTTGGTCAACAGATAGTACCTCTCATTCATAATATTCCTCAGCTTGATACGGTTTACATCCTCCGTGCCGATAAATCTGGAGATGAACAATGGATGAAAAAATGGATCAAAGTGAAGGGTGTGTATACAGAAATTGCACCCGTTTGTGAATCTCTTCAACAGGACGTAAAACAATGCAAGCAAGAGTCTATTGCTGTGAGTTTTGTCGCCGTGGGCGAAGTGGCTTCCAATCAAAGTGTGAATCAATTGGAACCTTCATTTATGTATACTCAAATATTCAAGGAAATCTTACTCGGCATGAAATATGATCAACAATCTGTCAAAAAATTCGCAGCTTACTGCCGTGAAAATAACTGCGGAGCACCAAATAATATTGATCGCTTTGAGAAAGAATATCATGCTAATTTTGCTATCTGGTGGTATAGTTCCCCATTATTCATCTATTCTATGCTCAATTACGCTCTTCGTATGCTAGAAGCCGACACCATCATTAATATGGGCTTCTTTATTTGTGATCTCCATCATCAAATTGAAGAATTACATGAAAAACAAGTCAGTAGTTACAAAGGAAAGCCCTTTACAGTTTACCGAGGGCAAGGTTTATCGACGACGGATTTTGAAAAACTTCTGAAGACAAAAGGTGGACTGATATCCTTTAATAACTTCTTGTCCACCACCAACGATCGAGAATTTTCTCTGTCATTTGCTGAAAGTGCTTCAATAAAAACCGATACGGTCGGTATTCTCTTCGAATTGTCCATTGATCCTTTCGTCTCGTCCGTTCCATTCGCCTCCATCCGCGAGAAGAGTTATTTTAAGACAGAAGAAGAAATACTCTTCTCTATGCACACCGTTTTTCGTATCGGTGGAATTACGAAAATTGACAAAAACAATCCACTTTACCAAGTGGATCTTAAACTCACTTCGGATGATGATCAACAACTTCGCACTCTTACCAATCGAATACGAGAGGAGACTCCGGGTGAAACAGGATGGCAACAATTGGTACAACTACTAGTGAAAATAGGTCAATTTAACAAAGCTGAAGAACTCTATAAAGTACTACTCGAACAGACATCCGACGAGAGTGAGAAAGCGATTTATTACAATAATCTTGGATCTGTCAAGGCGGATCAAGGTGATCATGACAAGGCTATTTGGTATTACAAAAAAGCACTTGAAATCTACCAAAAAACTCTTCCTCCAAATCATTCTAAATTCGCTACTTCCTACAACAACATCGCTTCGGTGTATGTGAACATGGGAGAGTACTCGGAAGCACTTTCGTTTTATGACAAAGCACTTAAAATTCTACAGAAAGCTCTTCCTCCAAATTATCCTGGTATGGCTACTTCCTACAACAACATCGCTTCGGTGTATGTCAACATGGGTGAGTACTTGGAAGCAGTTTCGCTTTACGAAAAAGCACTTGACATTCGACAAAAAACTCTTCCTCCAAATCATCCTTCGTTGGCTACTTCCTATAACAACATCGCTTCGGTGTATGACAACATAGGACAGTACTCGAAAGCACGTTCGTTTTACGAAAAAGCACTTGAAATTCGACAAAAAAGTCTTCCTCCAAATCATCCTGATTTCGCTGCTTCCTATAACAACATCGCTTTTGTGTATGTGAACATTGGAGAGTACTCGAAAGCACTTTCGTTTTACGAAAAAGCACGTGAAATCTTCGAAAAAACTCTTCCTCCAAATCATCCTGATTTGGCTACTTCCTACAACAACATCGCTTCGATGTATGCCAACATGGGTGAGTACTTGGAAGCAGTTTCGTTTTACGAAAAAGCACTTGAAATTCGGCAAAAAACTCTTCCTCCAAATCATCCTTTGTTGGCTACTTCCTATAACAACATCGCTTCGGTGTATGACAACATAGGACAGTACTCGAAAGCACTTTCGTTTTACGAAAAAACACGTGAAATCTTCGAAAAAACTCTTCCTCCAAATCATCCTTCGTTGGCTACTTCCTACAACAACATCGCTTCGGTGTATATGGACATGGGACAGTACTCGAAAGCACTTTTGTTTAACGAAAGAGCACTTGAAATTCGACAAAAAAGTCTCCCTCCAAATCATCCTGATTCAGCTACTTCCTACAACAACATCGCTACGGTATATATAAACATGGGACAGTACTCGAAAGCACTCTTGTTTTACGAAAGAGCACTTGAAATCTATCAAAAAACTCTGCCTCCAAATCATCCATTGTTCGCTACTTCCTACAACAACATCGCTTCGGTGTATGCCAATATTGAAGAGTACTCGAAAGCACTTTCGTTTCACGAAAAAACACGTGAAATCTTCGAAAAAACTCTCCCTCCAAATCATCCTTCGTTGGCTACTTCCTACAACAACATCGCTTCGGTGTATGACAATATGGGACAGTACTCGAAAGCACTTTCATTTTACGAAAAAGCACTTGAAATTCAACAAAAAACTCTTCCTCCAAGTCATTCTGATTTTGCTAGGTCCTACAACAACATCGCTGTTGTGTATTACAGCATGAAACAGTACTCAAAAGCACTCTCATATTTTGAACGTGCTCTGAATATTTTCCAAAGTTCACTACCTCCTAATCATCCCAATATTAAAACTGTGCAAGAGAGTATCGAAATTCTAGAAAGGAAATTGTAAAATAATGTTTGATTAATAAACGATGTTTTTTTCACTTACTTGGAACAGTTTTATTTTCCATCGCACCCGCTCGTGCGTACCGAAGCAATTTCTGTAAATAATAGAAACGCAATGGACAAAACCGACCGGTAATGCAATACATGCACATACGTACATGTATAGAAGGCCATCACAGACATGTTTGCATCTCCCTGATTAACAAAGAGAATTGTTCTGTATCAGAATAATAATCACTTCGAAAAGTAACCCATGAAAATTGTCGTTCAACAAATAAATACTTCAGAAATAGATCTAAAAAGGAAAAAAAATCGGAAAAAGTAAAAATGAATTACTTACCTTGAACTGGATTGATTGTTGTTATTGTTATGGTATTGTTGAATGGGGCTCCGAATAATGATGAAGAAGGGTGTGGGTGTGGCTGTACATGAAGAGATGATTACACTGACACCCACACCCACACCCACACCAACCCACACCCCACACCCCACCCACACCAACCCACACCCCACACCCCACACCCCACACCCCACCCACACCCACACCAACCCACACCCCACACCCCACACCCCACCCACACCAACCCACACCCCACACCCCACACCCCACCCACACCCACACCCCACACCCCACACCCCACCCACACCCACACCCTTCAGCTCCCGACTTTAGAAAGCTTTTCTGAAATTTTTTCTTGAGGGTGTGGGTGTGGGTGTGGGCGTGAGCGTGGGCGTGGGGTGGAGTGTGGGTGTTGGTGTGGGGTGTGTGGGTGTGGGTGTAGAAAAAGACACCAATACCCATACCCACACATCTACACACACCTACACCCACCCACACCCACCCACACTGTACACACACCTACACCCACCCACACTGCACACACACACACCCAGACCCATACCTACACCCCACACCCACACCCACACCACACCCACGCCCAGCCACCCACCCCACATTAGTACGTTTTGATCCTGTTTATTTAACTCATTTCAAATGTAATTAAAAGATGATTTCAAAAGATTATCCTAATTTATTTGGATTCATTCGAGAACTATATCAAACAGGAAATATTAGCGAAACTGTTGATATAGATGAAATCAAGAAACATTATTATCAATCACATGTACATATCAACCCAACACGTATTATACCTCAAGGTCCTGAAATAGATTACAGTCAACCTCATCAACGTGATATTCAAAAATATGAACAATAAAAGACAAATGATATACAAAAAACATTATTAAATGATGGAGTTTTTTTTTATGACACATAAATGATAAAATAATATGATATCGATAGATAGTTCTTTTTCTTTTCTTTTCGTCTAATTAAATTTAACTGTAATCAATATTCTTATAATTGAAATATTGAATATAATTTAGATGATAAATATAAATGGAGCTTCATCATGTTCATTAATTTAAATGGAAAAATACACATACAAAATAACTGCTTTTCAATCATATTTCCCATAGATACTTTAGAATATTTAATGGACTTTTACATTCTGATTTTCTATTTTTTTTCTAAAGATCATTTTATTATCTGCTTTATGGTTATTTAGTCTCTATTAGATTCTAAAGCAAATAAATAAAAACGTCAACCAAAATTTGAAATGAATGAAGTCCAATGTTTCTCTTTCTTTTTTTTCTTTTTAAACTTCGTTTTCATCGAAAGATAGACAGACGGACAGATAAGAAAAAACATATATCTTGATAATAATATTCAAATATTTGATTACTATGCCCCGATATTTCAAATTACGATGAAGATTGACGTCATACAAAGAAAATACTTTCTTCGGCGATTCAAACAAGTGGGTGTAGACAAAAACAACAATAACAAATAGATGGAGACATGACAGTTACTGTCTCATATATATACATATATATATATATATATATCGTTTGAAATATTGGAATATATCATTTAACCGACCGTGATGATCAAATCAGGGGTGTGGGTGGGTGTGAATCTAGAGATGAAGGACATCCACGCCCTTTTTGAGAAAATCTTTATTCTGTAGTTTAGAGCATCAAGCAAGAACAACTAACTTTGTGTGAAAGAATCGAATATGTGCTCCTTTCATTAATTCACCACACTCGTACAAAACAAAAATATGTGTTCGATTCTATGTCTTATTTTAGTAGGATCTAAGCTACCCTCTTAAAGTCAAAGTTTATAATAAAAGTAGGATGAATAAACTGATAGAAACAACTAATATAGAACTGAAACATTTGTTGCTGCCACTGGAAATCAATGCTTTGACTTCATTCGCTTGAATAACTTTGACGCCTTGCTGTTTTAAATAGTCCAATTGTGGTTTTGCCACATTGAAATCGATAATTCCACTTGCATCTTCGATAAGATACGTTGTATAATTCAAATTGAGTGCGTCAAGTGCAGTTCCTCCAACACAATAATCCACTGCCAAACCAGCAACAAAAACGTGTGTAACATTGCGTTCTTGAAGTTTCTTATCAAGATCGGTTTTTTGAACTCGATTATTATCTGTAAACGCTGAGTAACTGTCGATATCAGGATCAATGCCTTTTTGAATATGAATAACATTGTCACTCGCTGAAGGAACATAAAGATCTTTATGAAGGGCTGCATCTTCGGTGTCTTGTATACAGTGTGACGGCCATAGGATTTGTTTTGTTTCGACTTTGGGACCAGTGTATGTGACTTCATCGTACATGTTTATCACTTGATTTTGATTACCTTTTAAATATTTTCTACGCGAATTTAGGTTCTCAAAAAATGAGATGTGATTTCGAGGATGCCAGTCATGTGAATACGCAATAACATGAAAGGGAACATTTCGAATTAAATCATTGATAATAGGAACAACTTTAGCACCATCTTGACGAGCAGGAGTTTTGGACAATGCAAGATTTCCAGTGATAAAACAATTTTGTACGTCGACAACAATTAATGCGCTGATAGGTTTTGATGAATTTCGACCTAGAATAATCTACGATGTATAAGTATGCACAAAAAAGTCGAAGTATCTTGTATTCGAACACAAAGTGTTCGAAGCTTATTTTGTTACTCATGGGTAGAAGTAAATATGTAATTGTAAGTAAAGTTTGAGATGTAGTTCAGCCCATGAAATTTTAATTTAAAAAAAAACTAAAAATGCCTTCTGAATCCTTGATTTTTTTCCAGTGAAAGTTTTTAACACTTGAAAGAACATCAATTTTTTAAAGAGATCTAACATATACAGCTATTTTAAGTTCTACAAGAATAGCTACTTAAAATTTCTATCCTAGTTGACAGCATTAAGAGGAGCCAAAATTCAAGATCTGAAACAATTTCTAACTTTAGTTTGGCCCAAACCATTTCTAGAGAGTTTAGAAAGAGCAAAATTTAAAGATTTAAACTGTATTGAACGAACTTCATTTTCTCAATCTATGAGTGAAAAAATTAGGCTTCTGGTATTTTCCGTTCGAACACAACAGGTTTCGACATTTATACGGATATTTATGTGTAACATACTGAAAAAAGATAGATACCATATCGAACTACCGCTGGTTTCTGACGTCGTATGAAACTTAAAAGGTTTCGATTTTTGAAACAAACTCGAAATTTTTTTTTGAAGTTTTTGTAGGAAATATATAAAACTTTAAACAAAGAATATTGGCGCTTTGATTAATCTTTTGAAGATGTCTTTAATTCACAAGAAATCTTTTAAAAGGTTTAGATTTTGTTGTAAAATAGGTTCTGTACAGCACATATTTCTTTTCGGTGTAAGTCAGTACGATGTTAATATTTTACATTTTATTACTTTCTTCTATTTTCACCTTTTGATGCGTTGACTGTTGCGACAGCAGAATCTGTGTTTATAATTACAATGATGGCAAAGATCAATAGATGCGCTCGCTTCATATTGAATGAAATCATGATCAATTGGAAATTTTCACTTGTGTTCGAATCGATCGATGCAGTTAGCTTTATTAATTCTGAAAAAGTGAATGCAGAAAAGTAATGAGATGAAGTGCGAGTCCCAAATAATCTGCGTGAACATCGAATAACCTATGCCATTTTATTCATGACTTTAAAGATGACGTTCGCTCTGTTATTCGATATTTAGCGTTCTATGTCTCACACATGATGTTACTAACTCTTCTACTTTTAGCAAAACTGGTATTCG